TCAAGACAAAGACCCCAAATATTTACTTTTAACAAAGATATATATTTAAATTATACAAACTTTACAGAATTTTAATTTAACACTCATAGCAACTTTATTATTTTTTCTAATTAATTACTATATCATATTAATAATTTACTTTTTTGTCTATATCTCCTAAGTGGGTATTATGTATGATAGAATATGAGAATTAAAATATCTAAATATTCATCTCAAATTTTTTCCATGCTAGAGGCATGGGTTATATACTATTTTAGTGTTACCATATAACTGATCACTGAAAATTAGTCATTAACATTTTGAATATTATTTAATCCTTCAAAGAGGATCCATTAAATAACTGTCAAGGGATTAGTCTATAACCGTGGTTATAGTTATCTAGCTCTGAGTTGTTTTAACAGTATTGTAATACCTTAGACACCTCTTTATTGTCAAAATACGATTTCACACAGAAAAGCACTATACACAATACTTTTTATTACCAACAAAATTTTCTTAATATTTTATTTGAATAATACTTTTAGGGGGCTATTTTTTATACCCCCTATTTTTATTATTCGTACCCCTTATAATGTAAGTTTCCGATATTTACGTGATTACATGCAATGATGATCAGTGCTTAGAACGCTATTGGGCAGTAGCGTTACACGCATTACATACAAATCTAGATATTAAACAATCGTCTATGTACTGTACTTTTTTTTAAACCTTCGACGCGAGTACAGCACTTTTGATACCTGTACCTACGTACAAAAAGGAAAAAAATCTTAGATCGTAATAGCTTATACGTACCAAATCGTTTATACCAAATTGTTTATAACTAAGCAACCAATCTTTTTCTATCTAGTTTTACTATATACTGATCCATCGATTATCGTTATCATTATGGTACACTAACGGTAAAGTGTAACATTTTCAAATTTGGGTTATTTTATTTGCATGTGTTAATATGTATTCGAAAAAAATAAATAAGCAGGTCCGAAGTTGTGAACTTTAAAATCTGATCTATGCCATGAGTGAACTTTTATTTCTTTTAGTTCATTTATACATCAAATAACTAAACTTTTTTACACTGCTATTTTTTATTTATGCAGGTACGAGCATTATGTCCAGGTTGTCAACAAATAGCACAATGCCTACCCTTGTGTTCTACCATTTCAAAGCAGGAGGGATCTCTGCGTGTCGAGTTATTTTTCTGGTAATTAGGAGCTCCAGAGAGATGGCCTCTTGTGTGAACCACATTAGGATTTTGTAAGGTCATTGATGGTTCATCGATCAGGTTTTTCAAAGTATCTTGTACCACTAATTTTTGGAATTCTGGCCATTCTTGATACCTTTGTTGTAGATCGTACAAGAGAGGTTGTAGGGGGTTTTTAGGATCGGAACTATTTTCTTCAACCTGCAGCATCGGTATGTTTCCTGGAATCCACTAATGTTTATGAATGTCATTAAGCATTAGATTTTGATTATTCTCCAGATACTGAATAAAATGAGCGCAAGGTAAGCCCATCGTTCTTGTGAAAGTTCCAGTGCATGATGGTAAGGGCTCTTGTGCGGTAGCACGTTTTGCCTTCTGATACTGATCATTTATCTTATTGAGTGCAAAGCTTGATACTTTATCTAATGTTATGAATCCATGCAAAAAATAGAATCGATTAGTCAATTGATTATTTTTTTAAAAAAAATCGATTAATTATTTAGTTGCAACTTAGTCAACTAGATATTTAATCAATTTTTGATCTATATCACTATAGTTACCATCTAAACTATTTTGGATGGTCCAAGCCATGTGATAATTAGCATTACATATGGTTTTAACCTGGTCTTAATATAAACCACATATAATGCTAATCATCATATGGTTTGAGCTGTTCAAAATAGTTTGAATGGTAACTATACATATTACTAATTTTACCCCTAATATTTGAATATAGAGAATTATAAGTAGCAAAAGCCGGAATACGAATACGCTCTGATGCAATCATAGTATTAAATTCTTTTCTCTGGTTGGTTACTGCTAATGATATTGTCGTATAAACGTGATGAAGATCCCCTGTAGATGTTTGTAAGTATGCTTTTAATGTTACATGTGAACCCTCGATATGTGAAGTTACAGTTGTACCCAAGTAAAGTAATTGATTTGTCCAGGCTTTTATAAATTTTTTCTTCCATGGTATCCAGGTTTCCTGAAGATAAGATATTACACTAGGTTTATTAATGTAAGCGGAGCATAAATTATTCTATTTTACATCAAATTCGCTTTCTGTTTCAGATTGAACGATATCGTTCCACTTTGCAAGGAAACTTTGTCATTCACTACTTTCTTCTTCATTGGTTTCTTTAGGGAACTGCGGCTTGCAATTTTTTAGGACGTTCTTACTAATGTGCCATGCACAAAGTAGGTTTGTTGAATTGGGAAAGATAATTTTGAGGGCATTCATAAGTGTCAACTCTTTATTAGTTACTATAACACTGGGTTTTTGTATTCCATCAAATATACTCATGACATTTGTAAGGCCCATTTGTAATCATCCTCCTCTTCACCTTTCATAAAAATAAAACAAGAAAAAAAAGTTTTATTGAAGCTGGTTATACCTACGACGTTTAATAAGGGCATTTTAAATTTGTTAGTCTTGTAGGTACAATCCATAAGAATTACTGTAGGATATTGACGGCTAAGAGAGACCGATTCTTTATGTGCAAAAAATAAGTGAGTAACTGAACCATTATTATCACACTTATACTTATATAAAAAATCTCCTCCTTGAAGTTCATCTACTAAAGCCTGAATAGGTGTTCTACCAGCCAGATTTTGTTGCCGAAGCTAGGCATGTATATTATAAATATCACTGCTAATGACTAATGTTGACAGATCATTTTGTTGAAGTGTTGATATAATTTCATGGGGACGTGAACCAGAGGTAGTCATTATTGCAACACTTTCTTTTTGTTCTTCTGTTAGTTGACGAACAATGGGATGTCCTGACATATCATTTGAGGGATCATGATTATATGTAGCATTATGAACCTCCAAGTGCCACAAGCCATTTTGTCGAGTTGCATACAATTCAAAAGGATAATCGATTAATCTGGTGCTTGTTTTTCTGTTATGTGTTTCTTCAGCAAAACCAGAGGAGTTGTTATAAATACCTCCTCAGTCACAACATATTGATATATTTTTTAATTCACCACGATTATCCTTCTGAGTTCTTTTTTTAACTAGGGCGTAGCCTTGAGAATTTGCAAATCTTTGTGCATTCTGGAAAAGTTCATCGGCGCTATTATGTACTTCAGGAGGAGGTGGAAGTATGGTTATTATAATAAGGACAATAACAACTTATTGTATAAAGATTTGTTGGTGCAATCGATATATCTTAAAACTTAATTTACGTAAATTAATATTTTGCTTATTTCAGAAACGATTATGGTGAAAACAGAGTTAAAATTACAAGAAACGAAGGATTACAAGAAATGAAGGTCGCAAATACAAATTAACAATCAAAATATGCACGATTTATTATAGTTTTGAAGAAATTTTAAGAGCAAAGCAAGGTATTTTTATTAAATTATTTCTAATCTATAATCACTTTTATTTCCAAACCCTCCTTATATTTTAGACGTATTTATGAAAAATTTTTATTTACTTTTATTAATTTAATATACACTTTATCTGATCTTCAGGCTGTGTAATGAATATTTTTTATTTTACCTTCCTTTTTAATTAAAATTCTGTAAAGTTTGTATAATTTAAATATATATCTTTGTTAAAAGTAAATATTTGGGGTCTTTGTCTTGA